ATATTATATAATATAATTATAATTTTTATAATTTATCTTTTCTTTCCAGCTAGATAAAGTTCTATATCCAGTCTTATACCTCTTTATATCCTTAACTCTTAGTCCATATCCTATAGAAAGAACATCAGCTGTGTAACATTGGGCAGGTCACTTACACATTCTGTTCCTGTATTAAATAGGGATGAGTTATATTTGTACCACTGGGAACCTTTTATCACTATTATTAGCCATTCAGTAAGGGTTTGATGAGGGTCCTTGGAGTTGAGACTGCCATTGTAGAGATCTCTACTGCTGCAGGAAGCTTTAGGAAGTAAGATATTCATTTAGCAGAGTTATTAGTACCTACTGTGTGCTAGGCATTATTTGGGGTGAGGTATTCAAAGACCAAAAAAAATGTAAAAAAGGGTTCGCATTCTACTTGAGAGATTATATACATTATATCAACAACTTTTCAAAAGCAGTTCTTTCTAAAACTCACTCCCCAACATTGACTCAGGGGTTACACGCCTTTTCGTTTTCAAGGGAAAGTCTTAGCCAAGTGTACAAAAAGGGCCAGGCACATTCAATCGTGTTTTTTACTTCACCCAGCAGTTAATAGGTGCCCAGGCTGTGTCTGGGACCGTCCTAGGAGCTGAGAAGCAAAGACCAAAATAGAAATGGGCACCTGACCTCAAGGAGCTTATGTTGGCCTGGGGGTGGGGTTGATGGGGGAAACAACCTGTACAAAGATAAGTAAATGCAAAATGATTATAAAGGGTCTCCTGGTTCAGCTGGTGAAATTAGGGAAGGCCTTAAAAAGGAAGCGGCCCTGTGGCTGAACCTAGAAGGGAAACAAGGGTTCTGAGAGGCTTGAGTAGATACTAAACTGTGTGGTATCACTAAACAGGCTTTTTAGTACATATTGATTGAATTCTTGAAACTCTGGGTCTTCTTTCTTTCTCCCTTCCTCCTCTGGAGTTTTTTCACAATGGCCTCATTTTGGCATCCTTCTTCCCTTGCTACACCAAACAAGATTGTGCAGATTGATGGCCTGAGGAACAATATTTGCTAACTTTCCAACAAATTTTAACAAAAGCAGAATCTTTACTCTTACCTTAGTTTCTCTCTAGACCCTCACACTGGTACCAGGTGTTCTAACCAAAATTGCCTTGCCTTTGAAAAACAAGGCTCTGGGGCTTTTTAGTAATGGCTCATGTTAGCAGTCTCTTCTGTTAACTCATCTCCCACAGCCTAATGGGAGTGGTGGGACAAGTACTACTGGCCCTGTATCAAAGATGTGGAAACTGAGGCTCCAACAGGTCACTTGGGCCCAAGATCATGCAGCAAGTTAGTATCAGAGCTGGAACTTAACCCACCTGTCTTGATTCCTGGGCCAGTGTTCTTGTAGCATCCTGCGAAACTGTCCAAGAAGAAGGGCAGCCAGGTGGCGCTGTGAATAGAGCTCTGGCCTTGGAGTCAGGAGGTCCTGAGTTCAAATATGACCTCAGACACTTGACACTTACTTACCTGTGTGACCCTGGGCAAGTCACTTAACCCGATTGCCTCACCAAAAAAAGCAAAAACAAAACAAAACAAAAACAAACAAACAAACAAAACTGGCTAAGAAGGAAGGAAACAAGCTTATATTAAGCCTCATCTATGTGCCAGGCACTGTTCTGAGCACTTTACAAGCATGATCTTATTTGATCCTCACAGCCACCCTGGGAAGGATGCTATTATTATTCCCATTTTATAATTGAGGTAGACAGAGTTGTTGAGTAACTTGGCCCAGGGTCACATAGCTAATGTCTGAGGCTTGATTTGAACTCAGATTTCCTGACTCCAGGCCCAGCACTCTAAGATCCAGAACTGTGTTTAGGGAAAGAAAATCTTATTTCTCCCTGGTGGGATTCAATGATTGATAATCCTTAGTGCTTACATGGGAACTTAAGGTAATACTTTAAAACTGGAAGGGACCTTAAGAGTTCTGTCCTCATTTTACAAATGAGCAAACTGAGGCCCACATTCTCCTTTCTGTTTTACTCAAGTCAGCCACCTATTACTGTGAGTGTTGCACTAGGCTTAATATCTTCTTGAGTGCCCCTTTTTTGAGAAAGGAACCATAGATTAAGTTTTCTGCACTCATTGATTTAGCAGAGAGTAAAAGTACCAAGGACTAGGATGATCCCTAAATTTTTTTTTTTACAATGGCTCAGTCTAGGGACCTGCTTTCTCCAAATTATAATGCGAGAGGGCCTGAGAAGTAACCTTTTCTATTGTTCATGATTAAAAAATAACAAAAACAAAAAAACAACAAAAATGATAAAGTCTTGGCCTCAAAGCCTGTGACCGTCTAGCTCAAACCTACTCATAACTCTCCTCCCACCTTCCGTGCCCTGGTCAGACACCAGGCCTTTCTTGCCCAGGCCCTTCTCAAGCAAAGCTCTCCCCAGTGCTGCCCCATCAGGAGGGAGCCTGAGAGAAGATCCTCTAGATCCTTAAAGATTTAGCTCAAATTCAAATGAGGTTTCAAACCCTGACAGCCTTTGTCCTCTTAAAAGATCTCTCCCTCTGACTCCCATTTTAATCTCATGCACTTATTGTAATCTAGTTTGTGTTCTGTTTATCTAGCTTAGAGGTGGTGTGGCCTAGTGGATAAAGAGGGAACTAGGAAGACTTGGGTTCAGGTCCTGCCTCTGACACATCCTTGCTTTGTGACCCTGGGCAAGTCACTACCTTCTTGGTGCTCTAGACAACTCTCCGAGTTCCAGATCAGAAACTGACCTGCATTAGTAGAAAGTGTTTCCAAACCTGGGAGCTCATTTTGCCAATGAAATGCCATGTTTAGTGATTGTACTTATTTGGAGGAGTGCATAGCTTAACCCCCTACTAGACTGTTAGCTCCATGAGGGCAGGAATTTTCTTTGTGTACCTGTATGTATCTTCCAGCATAGTGCAGTATATACAGTGAGTGCTCAGTCAAGCTTTGTCCAGTGAATGGATCACGAATGTACTACCTGCCCACCCTCCACCTTCCTGCCAATGCACCTTACCCTTTATGGAGGGAACCCAGACGTCCCTCTCTACTTAGACCCTTAGGCTTATTCTCCCCTCTCCAGTGGTGGTGGACTGCTTTTATGAGACAGATACCCCAGTGTATCCTCAAGATATCTGGGCCTTTCCAGACATCTTGTAGCCATACCCTTAGGTCTTTGGGCCCTTGACCTTGCTCCATAGCTGAACTCCCCTACATGTCCTATCTTCCTGATTTAGAGTGTGATCTTCTTGAGAGCCAAGACAGTATTATTTTTCTTCTTGTTGTCCCTAGAGCTTACTTAGCATAATGCTTCTCACATAGTACTTTATAAGTTCATTTTAATAAATATACTGCAAAGGCAAATTTCAAGAATTATGAAAGATTCCTTGGGCCCTCTAGAGTGGCCCCACTGGATCTAGTGTGGTGGGGGTTTAGATGGGACTGTTGACTGACTCTTTTGAGCCTGCCCAGGCTGCCCAAAAGCACATAGTGCTTCCTGGTATTTCGACTTTTTCCTCTTTAGACTTCCTTGTCCTGTCAGATTTCTGAGATGAAAGATTTCCTTTCTTTGTTTAAATGGTTTCTCTTCAGGTGTTAGTGTCCATAGACATGTCTGAGTGTTGGAGGAGTAAAGGGAGGAGGCAGTTTGGGGCCCATAAGAGGTTATATCTTCACTTCTTGTTCTTTAAGCCTCTTCTCAAGGTTTAGGAAGAGGCTAGTGGCAAAGCCACCAGGCATTTATTTGTGACTTTCTACTGTAGAATTTTGGTTGAAAAGTTGGTCTCCAAAGCCTAGAGAAGGTACAGACATTTATAAACACTTTGTTGTCCCCGCCCCCGCCACCGCAAACCACCATCACTTCAGAGACTTGGAGCCTCTTGTCCTGACCCCAGAACAAAGCCTGAGGACTCAGCAGGGCCTGGTCTCTAGGGGCTTCAGGGGCATGACTTAGCTGAGCCCGATAGGAAGGAACTTTAGAATTTAAGCTGCTGCTAGCCAGAGGGTTGACAGCTTAGCCACAAATCTAATTCCTGTGGCATCCAGCTGATATCTTTAAACAAGTAGTATCTGCAAAGAAAGGGGTGATATTTCTTACAAGTTGATTAGGAGCTCAGTATAATCTATAAAACTTAAGTCTTGTAAAATCTTTCTTGCTTTCCCCTGTAAACCAGTTTGCCTTGAATTTTATTAGATGCGGTTTCTCTCCTCCCACTCCTATACTTTTTTTCTACATATTCATAACAAGCATCCTTCGAGGACACAAGTAGATTCTTACCTCTTCTAGGAAACCTTCCCTGATTACCCATATTAGTCCTTTCTGTTTTCTCTTTTTCCACTTCAGAATCTTTGTTCAGCCCTCTCATTTGACAGAGGAGGAAGCTGATGTCCAGGGAAGAGAAATTGCTTGCCAAGCCAGAACTAGAATCTTGACTTATGTAGAGCCCAGTTCTGTACCCTACATAGTCAGTCCCCATACCAGACCCTTTGTCTTCATCCCCTTGTTGGTTACAGTAGAAGCCTTTTGAGGGCACAGTATAGGACCATTTATGTCACTTTACCTTTGTATCTGTCCCAGGGCTTTCATGCAGTGGGCTCATAATTCATCCTTAGCCCTACATTCTAATTCAGGACTTGCTACTTTGTTCCCTTGGGCAAATTACTTCCTTTCTCTGAGCCTTAGTTTCCTTCTCTGTAAAATAAAGACCAAATGATCTTTTATATCCCTTCAGTTGCCAAGTCCTGGGATCCTCGGATTTTGTATCCTCTAGTGCCTAGCACAATGTGTTGCACATTGCTTAATATATTCAATCAGATTGTCTTGTTAATTCTTGCCTGTTTCCTTTCTCCATTTTAGATTTTAAACCTTATATGGGTCTAAGTCTTTTATTTCTTTGGTCTCCCCTGCACAGCCCAGGACACTTGTTAATCCTGCAAAGGCTGACTGTTCTCAGGTTTAAAACAAATTTGTCTTTCTGCTTCCTAGGTGCCTTGAAGAAGAATATGACTGCTGAGCAGGTCAGAGCAGATTTCATTACTCTGGGTAGGCCCTTTATTTGCCTCTGCTAAATATTAAGTGATTGGTGCCTTTTATTATGCTAATCCTCATTCTTTTCTCCCTCAGGGCTCAGTGAAGAGAAAGCCACTTATTTTTCTGAGAAGGTATCTCAATTCCTTTTAATCAGGATTAATTAAGATTTCTTGTTTTATTTCCAATACTCCAGTGCATCTGTGATCTCATTCATGTGGGTATTCATGTTTTACTTCATAAAAGGAAAAATACTGATTTGGAGAAAACAGTCAACCACAGATAACTTCTCTTGGCTTAATGGTTTTCGTTCGATAGCACAGAGTCACAGAAAAGAGGGCTGGGGAAAGGCTGCCTGGCAGGATGCAGGAGTTAAGAAGGCTTAGGTTCAAGCCCCACACCTGATAAAAAGACTGGCTGTGTGACCCCTGGCAAGGCATTTAGCCCCAGTGTCTCTCCCCTTCTGTCCCCATCCCTCAGTCTCTTAAGACTGTATGTCTATCCGCTTTGATAGAAGGAGTTTCCTTATTGGGCATTCCCTATACCTCAGAAAAGAAAAAAAGTACAGGGTTTAAAGTCGGGGGACCTATTTTGAGGCCCATATTCTGACCTCTGGGTATATTAAAAGGGAGTTAATAATACTTGCACTACTCAGTAGGGTTGTTGTCAAGAGAGAGCTTTGTAGTGCTGTATCACTGTGAGCTTTTATTATTACCATATAACTGGGGTGATGCTTTTAGTGCGTGGTTTTTTTTCCCTTGGGCCGGATTTAAACATTTCAGAATTAATAAGTGATATTTCATTATTTTTATACCAGCCACCATTGCTATGTTGAAAAGAAAGAAGATATTTAAATTCCTTCCTCTTCCTTGTTGCCTTTCTGGATAGGGGCATGTAGGCCTCTTTATGTCTACTGCCTAGGATTGAATCTCTTATTGGGGGAAGGGAGTTGGGAAATGGAGGAAATGGGAGAAAGAAGATTTTGTTCTTCATGTGATTTTTTTAAATTTGTTTTTATTCTGGCAGTGGAAACAGAAATCTCCCACACTTGCACGATGGGCAGTAGGACAGACATTGATGATCAACCAGCTTATAGATATGGAATGGAAATTTGGAGGTAACTAGCTTGAGCCAGGTTTGAAATTAATGGGGGGGTGGGGATGAGGGGAAGTATGTGGAAGAAAGGGAACTTCTGGGGCAGCTAGCTGGCACAGTGGATAGAGCATCGGGCCTGGATTCAGGAGGACCTGAGTTCAAATCCGGCCTCAGACACGTAACACTTACTAGCTGTGTGACCCTGGGCAAGTCACTTAACCCCATTGCCTAAAATAACAACAACAAAAAAAAAAAAAAAGAAAGGGAACTTCAAATGGGGAAGATGTTGTCCCCTTTTAGAAGGGTGTTTGTGTTAATTCAGTGGGGACCCTCCTGCCTAAGCAATGAAATGATATCTAACCCTAGCTTCTAGGTGCTAGTAACCTGTTTTTCCCTTATGGCCAAGCTTCTAATTTTGCTCTCTCCACTTGGTCCTGATGATCCATCAGTTAGATGGTCTGTAGAATCTGGATCTTCCAAGTAACTCTTGGGTCAGTGACTGGTTTACTGCCTGTCCTGTGGAAAGCCAGTGTGACATAATTATATAAGGCAGCCTCAGTGACAGTGGGAAAGGCCTTCCACTTCCTCAAGTCTTTTCCTCACCTGTAAAATGGAATAATGACACATAAAAGAGTGCCTGACTCCTAAAACTGCCGTCCAAAAGCTGCCCAATAAAATGTATGTGTAGATAAAGCTTCTCAAACACTTCCAAACCTTTCAGGAGTGTCTCTTGATACATCTCATTCTCTTGATTTTTCCTTCTGTGTTACAGTGACGTTGGGGAGCAGTGAACTACAGAAAGTGGGCAGTATTTTTTTACAAGTAAGTCTTCCCTCTCCGCCTCCTTCCCCCCCAAAAGAACCTTTTGGAAATATGCATACTTTTGTCATTTAATCTTTTAAAATGAAGGTAATTAGGATCAAATCTGCATTATATTTCCTGAGAACAGTCATAGAAAAAAATATAGGAAGTTCCCAAAGTCTTAATGCTTAGCAAATTTAAGCTTCACTAGCTTACAACTGCACTAATACTTATGGGACTCCCCATAGATCCCTGACTTGTTATTAGAGTAAAGGACTTCAACGCAGGTGGGCTTCAAGCACTGGCACCTGCTGAGCAGTGTTGTGGTGAGGGTGGGCCTTGGGGCAGGGTTGGGTTGGACAAGATGGTCTTTGAGCTCTCTTTCAGCTCTTCGACTCTGGGATTCTTTGGGGGGTTGGAGGGAGGGGTGACCATGATGAATGTTACCAGTTTTATGCAAAATGTTTGATTACCAGATACTGGGGTACATTTAGGAAGCTTAGGTTTGGGAGGAGAATCAGACTGCTCACAAGGAACTATGAAATTAAAAGCTGACAGCTTTGAATTTTGCTTTTTTTCTTTGTCAGTTGAAGTTGGTGGTTAAAAAAGGAAACCAGACTGAAAATGTGTATATAGGTAAGTCCTACCTCCCTTTTCCTGAGCAGGGCTATTACAGAACAGAAATATTTCTTCTCTGTGACTTGGACCCATATTTAGCTTTTCTTCATTTGTGGAGCTCTCGTGAGAGGGCTAGGGTAAAAAAGAGTGGCAGTCAGGGGGTCTGGGTTCAAGGATTGGTGCCATCACCAGTGAGCTTTGACAAGTTGTTTCCCTATTCAGAGTATTAGTTTTCCCTTCTATGAAATAAGGGTCTTTGTTTACATGAACATTTCTATTTATAATAATATTTATGATAATAATAGCTGGCACTTACTATGTGCCAGGCACTATGCTAAGCACTTCACAACTATTATTTCCTTTGATCCTCACAACAACTCTCAGAGGTATTATTATTATTATTCCCATTTTATAGTTGAGGAAACTGAGGCAAAAGGTTAAGTGACTTGTCCAGGGTCATACAGCTAGTAAGTGTCTGAGGTCATATTTGAGCTCAGTTCCTCCTGACTCCAAGGCTGGTGCTGTATTCATTGTGCCACCTAGCGGGGTCCCCAGGTCCTGTGGGTTTGATTTTCAAAAAGAAGAGATAGAAGTTGAGGATTAAAATTCTTCAAAATTCAATTCTATCCCATAAATGCTGATTACTCTCTGGTAAACATGTGAAGGGTTATAAGGATGAACAGCACTATAATTTGGGGAAATAAAAACATGTTCATAAATTCATTAGTCAGCAAGCATTTTGTAAGTGCCTACTCTGTGTCAGGCTCTGAAAATACAAAAGGAAAAATAAAAGAGTCTCTGCTCTTAAGAAGCTTACATTGTACTAAATAATACAAAACATTTAAAACTGTAGAAGAAATCACTCTAAACACCATGAAGACTATCCTTCATTGTGGAAATCTGTCATTTTTCACCCTTTTATATGTGATTTTGACCTTTTTTTTCTTTTTGTCATTTTAGTATTTGTAGGCCCAGTAAGAAGGAAGGTTTAAAAAAGGTGTTTATGAAAAGTAATCCTTTGAGGAATCTATAAAAATTGGGAACATTTACCTGACACTGAATTTTCTCTCCCTAGAGTTAACTCTGCCTCAGTTCTATAACTTCCTGAGTGAGATGGAACGTGTCCGAGCCAGCATGGAGTGTTTCTGCTGAAGGTGAAGGAAGAAGGCTCAGAGGGATAACTTGTTTGTCCTTGTGGCCTGCTCTGTAACAGCTCGAGGGCTGGGGTGTCCCCCAAAAAGGTTACAGTTCTGTACTAGGGAGCCCAATACAGTTATCACATAAACTCATGATTCTTGAAATAACCACTCATCACACAGGCCATGTCTCAAATATTTAAACCATTGCGAGGGGGAGAAATGGAGCCAGTTTGTGATACTCTGCCTTTCCCTCCTCCAGAACTCCTATTTTCTCAAACTTACAAGATCAGCAGTCTAACTACAGAACAGAGTTAACCTGAAATTTGGCAAGGGAGGACTTAACTGCCAGCATCCTGAGAGCCAGAATCTGAAACAAACAAACAAAAAAATGCATTTACCATGTGTAGTGGAGATTCTCTCAGATGAGACCCTATTTTAATGATATATCTGTATGTAAACCCAAGAGCTCCTCTTTCAAAGACTTCTGTTCTTTGGAGGCCTTGACTTAGTCTCTCCTTCTGCATCTGCCCTGCGAAGGTCATCATCTTCTCAGCCTCCTTAGGAGTCTTTTTCGCTGGCTGAGTAGCCACTGAACAGAGTTCTGCCTTATCTAAGTGTCTAATAGAGGGTTTGAAGAAGAGGCCTTGATCCTCTTGTCCATGTGCACTGGGTTGGTGATGGTTTGGGAGACAAGATGACCAGAGTTCGGATTGGGCCTGAACAGAGAGTCTGGGCAAGGCAGAGGAAAGTTGCTATACTGTAAGGACAGTTTAGGAGCAGGATTACCTTCAGGTTAAAGCCTTGTGGAAAAGAGGACCATAGATTTGGAGCCTCTTTCAAGACCTTGGAGGCCATCTGGTCTAACATCCTCTTTTTGTAGATGAAGAAACTGAGGCCCAGAGAGGGTAAGTGGCTTGCCCACTTCACACAGGTGGCAGAGCTGGAATTTAAACTTAGGTCCTGCTACTCCAAATCCAGCATTCTGCACCATTATACCATGTTGCCTTGACCACATGAAGAAGTTGTGTGTACTTTGATATTGACATGAGACTTTAGTTTCCAGCCTAGTATATCACTTTTCACAAATTGCTGATTAGAACATTAAGAACTTGGCAGGCCTTAAACTGCAGCGTGTCTAGGTAAGTGGGGGACTGTAGAAATCATTTCATCCACCAATTCTTAACCTGGAATTCATTAACTTAAAAAAAAACCACTTTTTTTTAGAACCTATTGCACTATGCTTGATTTCCTTTGGAACTTTGTGTATTTTATGTTATACATTTTAAAACATACTGAAGAGTCCATGATTCAAAAAAGGTGGAGGATCCCTGATCCAATATGTCTTACAGTTATTTAGACAATCTTCTTTTTCTGTTCTTTGTTTTATAGGGAAATGCATGTGGTGGTTGATGTTTGTCAAATTCATAATAATGTTATTTGTTTTGGGGGTTTTTTTTTTTGAGAAATTGTCTAATCCAACCACCCTCTCCCATTTTACAGATAAGGAAATAGGTCCAGGGAGGAAATTGCCTTGTGAAAGGATGTACAGTGAGTTAGGGGCTAACCCAGACCCAGGTCTTCCAGTACTGCACCTTGTTCTTTGTATTCCCCCAGCTGAGCTGCCTGGAGTTGTTGCTTATGTTGCTTCCCTCCAGTGGTCTCACTCTCCACCTGGCCTGTTGAGAGCCAAGGTCTAGCCAGGCATTGCATTTTTCATTTCTGGAGGTTTTAGTATGTCTGCTGTTGGCTAAACAAAGACTTAAAGAAGCTTATGGACTAAGGCTGCTTCCACATCAAAGGCCTGTTACAGATCAGCCTAGGGATGAGTTAAGTATGGATGAATCAGGAGCACATGAACTCAACATTCCAATAAATACACTTGGGCTCCAGCAAGGAGAAATAACATACTCAGCCAAAGGCATTGTAGGTTTCCCTTGATTCTACATTATGCCAGCGTTGAATTACTCAGATATTTCAGGTCAGTGTTAACAATTTTCCCTTTGTCATTCAGCTAACTCCCTGTGATGTTCATGTTTAAATGTGAGTTTTCCTGAGTTTCCAAAGTGGTGATGTTTTGTTGGGTTATTTTGCTTTGTTCTGGATTTTTAGGGACAGAACTAAATGTAATAAATGCCTTCATTTCCCTTTCTTGGCCTCATTTTCCCCAATTGTAAAATGAAGGGATTGAATTAGACAAACCCTTCCAGTTCCAAAATTCATAGTTTTCAGGCCTCTTCCAGCTCAAATTAATTTTTTTAAACCCCTTCCAGTTCAAGTCCTTTTTAAGGCCTTCTTCTGTTTCTGACATTCTGTGTTCTAAGGCCCCTTCCAGCTCTGACATTCAACATTCTATACCCCCTTCTAACTCTGTTTTCCAAAATCCTTCTGAGCTTTGAGTTTATTTTCTAAGATCTCTTCCAACTTTTGCGTTTTATGTTTTAAGATCCTCTAGCTGTATCTTATGTGTTAAGGTCTCTTCCAGGCCCAATAGTCTCTGTTCTGAAGTTCCTTTCAGCTCTGGCATTCTTGGATTCTATAAGTAGTTAAGTATGTTTGTAATATGTCTCTTGGTTTTGCTCTGTTCTATACCTGTCCCTAGTTCAATTGATGCCTCATCCCTGGACTAGTATAGTAACTTCTTAACTGGTCATCTGTCTTCAGTAATCCACACCCCTCACAATCCATTTTACATATGACCACCATATTAATCTTCCATAAACATTGCTTTAAACATAGTTTCCTGCTCCACTCTTCGGAGACTCCTCAATTCTTCCATCATCTGCTCTTACCCTTTGTGATCCTATAAGCCCAAAAGGTGAATGCAGATCGATTGAGTTGTTCCCTGTTCCTCTATCAGGAATGCAGCGCTCCACCCTACTGCTTTGCTTTATTCAAAGTTGCCCAAAATAAGTATTGTTCATATCTCACCACAGGAAGATCTCTGTACTTTGAGCTCTCGTTATGCTCAACTACTTAACCCACTGACAGTAATAGACTACCTTGGGCTGTTATTTGTATGTGTTATTTTATTTCATCTTTACCAGTAGAGTGAGGATGACTATCTGGTAGGTAAGAATTAGAACTTCTGCTTTTTTATATCCCCAGCACCTAGTAGAATATTCTCTTTGCATAGTAGGTGTGTCATACCTATCTGTTGATGACAGCAGATTCTGTTCTGAAGACCTTACCCCAAAGTCTTCCTTTCCACAAAATATGAATCCAATTAGACTTTGGTCAGCTATTTGTCTACAAGATAAATATTTAAGACTCAGAACCGTGTTTCATACTTGTAGCTTCTTCAGAGCTCCTAGAATAGGAGGGAGCATGAAGTAGACCCTCAACTAAAATTTGTGGGTTGGCTGATTAATGAGAATTGTGTCTCAGAGGATGCTTAAAACCGCTCTTTTTAATGAGTCATTTAGCATTCTATAGGCCTCCGTTTTCTCATTTGTTAAGTGAGATGGTTGGATTGGTTGCTTGAGTTTGCTATAAGTCAATGCTTCCATAATTTTTTTGTCAACTAAATAAAGTTCAAACTCTTGAACCTGCTATTCAAGGGCCTGCAAAATCTGGTCCCACAATACCTATCTAGACTTATTTGTCCCAAAGGCACTATCCCAACCAACTAGTGGTCTAGTAGTAACTTGGTCATGCTTCTGTGGTGGCCTTTGGAGAGAGGGAATATGTGCATTCCTACTTCTGTTTTAGGGAGTTCATTTATGTCTTGTTCAATTTCTTTTTTTAAGATAGGGTTATTTAAGTATTCTATTTCCTCTTCTGTTAATCTAGGCAATTTATTTTTTTTAAGTATTCATCCATTTCACTTAGATTGTTAGATTTATTGACATATAATTGGGCAAAAAAGCTTCTAATAATTGCTTTAATTTCTTCTTCATTGGTGGTGAATTCACCCTTTTCATTTTTGATACTGGTAATTTGGTTTTCTTCTTGCTTTTTTTTAAATTAAAATAACCATGGGTTTATTTTGTTGGTTTTCTCATAAAACCAGCTCCTAGTTTTACTTATTATTTTACTTTCAGTTTTATTCATCTCTCCTTTGATTTTCAGGATTTCCAATTTGGATTTTAATTGGGGATTTTTCATTTGCACTTTTTGGTTGCATGCTCAGTTCATTGATCTGCTCTTTCTGTATTTTATCGATGTAAGTGTTTAGAGATATGAATTTCCTTCTGAGTGCTGTTTTGGCTCCATCCCATAAATTTCCTACTCCCATTTAATAGAAGAGAAAATACTTCATAGAGGCAAAGTGACCCATCTACCATCATACCTAGTAAGTCATGGAATCATAAAGTTAGAATAGGAAGGGACCTGAGAGGCCATCGAGTCCAACCCATTCATTTTACTGGTACCTTGACCCAGAGTAAGCATGTGAGGTAGAATTTGAACTCAAGTTTGCCTGATTCCAAGCTCAGCACTTTGCCTTGCTACCAGTTTCTAGCTGAAGTGTTGAAACCAGCTTGTAAACCAGGTGCTCTGATTCTAGGATAAACCTTGCTATGTCAGGTCCCTGTTTTATGTCCTTTCTCCCCAAACACTACCTGTTCATTCCCACCTGGTAAGCATGGATGCCCTTAGTGATACTGTGCCTGTCCCCAAAGTACCACCTTTCTGATCACTACTGCACTCTCCTTTTTCTGTACCTTTGTTAGCACTCCATTTTCTTGACTTAGTTCTTGCTATTTTAATCTACTCTTGGTAGATCTCCAAAAGGTGGTTCCTAAACCCTTCTGTGGGTTGAGGGCACTTGGCAGAGCCTGGGAAAATCCCAAGTGCCCAGTCACTGGGAGTTTTCAGACCTAGACTGGATGTGCTGCCTGTCAGGGGATGTCTGATTGAATTGATGCTTTAGTTAGACGGTGAATCCAGGGACCTAGGGACTTTTTCAGCTCTTCAATACTGATTCTGTGATCCTGAGGGCAAAGAGGGGAATGACAGCTACCCTGGGTCACACCAGCAGTACAAGGCTGGGATTCTAGCTTTGGTCCTCCCCTTCACTCACAGAGCTCACACTTAGGTGAGGTAATAAGACCCACTTGTGTACAAAGATGCCATATCTCCTCTGGTAGACATGGACCCCCCAAATGCCCAGTGCTGAGTGTGGCAGATATGCCTTGGGGCTGCCCTCTTCAGGGAATGAATGAATGAATGAATGCC